CCATTTCAATTTATAAGATATAATTCAGATTTAAAGAGTCAAATTTCTTTATTTTGATCATGCATTCGAACATGATCGGTTTGATTTTTGAAAAATAATTAACATATTTAAAAACTACACAAAAAGTACTATAAATTATAAGAATTAACAATTTAAAAATATTTGAAATGCATATAAATAAAACACAATAAAAAGTCTTCTTATTCGTTGCTTGAAATTCAAACCGTCATATAAACAAGGAAAAATACATAATAAATCAAATACTATATTTTTTATCAAAGCAAAAAATAAGTGCATATTCATTTTCTTACACTGCACATTACATAAAAATGCTTATACATTTATTACTCTCTCTGTCCCAATTTATATGATTTACTTTCCTTTTTAGTCAGTTCCAAAATGAATGACACATTTCTATATTAATTAACAATTTAACTATAAAATATCCATTTTACCCTTAATAAAATGATTTACAGCCACACAAATTTCTATCATCCATTTTAGACCACAAATTTTAAAAGTCTTCCTTCCTTTCCTAAACTTCGTGCCGAGTCAAAGTACCTCATATAAAATGGAACGGAGGGAGTATTATATATATATAGATATATACAACAGTAAAACGTATCAGCCGTCTTAGCTCAGTGGTAGAGCGCGTGGCTTTTAACCACGTGGTCGTGGGTTCGATCCCCACAGACGGCGATTGGTATTTTTTTTAATTTTTATTGGTCCAAAACTAGAACAATTCACAATTTTTAGATTATTTTTTTTTGGAAACTTTATAATTATTTAGATATTTCTTAGTCAACCTAGGGTGGTGTGTTTGGTACAAATAAAAATATTTTTCGTGAAAATAAGTGTCTTTTACTTTTTTTTTTGTGTTTGGTACATAAACAACAAATATTATTCTAAAAGCATTTGTATATAATCTAGAGAAACACTACGAAAGGTGAAGGTTGGGATGGGGGACTATGGGAGATGGGAGTAGGGGGTGAAATTTGAAAATGAGGTGAGTTGGAGAGGGGGGATACACAATCGATGTGGATTAATGCTACTTACGGAATTTATTTTCTTTACTTTCACTTTTTTTTAAATAACTTGTTTTCTTTTTAAATAAGTACCGAACACACCCTTATACTGATAAATAACGGGTGATGAACAAAGTAACCTTATTATTCTGCGACGCAAATAAGTTAAATTTGAAATGCGAAAACTATATAAGAAATTTAATTTAAAATTATGAATTCTCAAGCCGTCATGAAAAAACCAAAATCACATCAAGTTACATTATAGATGTAATATATTCCCAGCTCAAGTGATAATTACCAATACTATTTCCATTTTGATTTATTTTGTTGATTTTGACATTAAATTTAAGAAAATAAATGATAATTTTGAATCTCGCACTCGTAGTAAATATATGTAAAATGTACTAAATATCCTTTAATTTAGTTTTAAAAAAATCTTTTTAAAACAAACTTATAAGTAGTCCTTCGGGATGGCTCAGTTGGTTCGGAGGGTGGTCATCAATATAGATGATCTGAAATCGATCCCCCTCAATGCATTATGAGTCGAGTTTGTCACATAGAGCTTGTCTAGTGTGTGGGTTTACCCAGTGCACACAAAGTGCTCACCTAAAGAACATAGATTATAGCGGTTGCAGTTTATCCTAGAATTTCCAAAAGAAAAAAAAATCTAAAAAGGTAAAAGAAACAAATTGAAACGAAGGATTGCGAATTTGCGACTTATTTAATCCTAGAACTAGAAAGTTCTAATGTATAATAACAGTATAAAATTGAAAGAGCTCCATCAAAGACCATATTACAATTTTTGCAAGTTAGTAATGTCAAAGATTGTATTATGTATATACTCATAAAGCTAGAGACTACGTACACGTCTATCCATACTAAAAGTTTTGATTTTTTAAATTTAATCTGCTGATAACTGATAGTCATTTGAAGAATGTCCTTAAATCTGGACAAACAAAAAGTTCCAAAATTAACTTGATTTTGTTTATGTTTTTGACTTCCAATTGGTCCAAAATTAACAACAACAAACATCATGTCTAATGAAATCTCATGTTTGTGAAAGATCCTCCGCTCAATTAACACATAACAAAGTGGTATAGAAAAGCACATATAGTTAAGAAGACAATTGTTTCCAAAAATATAGAAGCTAAACTAAAACATGAAATTTGAGTTGACTTAAGCTTCCTTGAGTTCTAAGCACTTTGGACGCCTCGGTGATGTGAAGCGTCGATCCCAACACCAATTCCTATAGCTTTTACTTGGTGTTTGCTATGCTATTTATACTACTCCTTATGATGAAATTAATTGAAGTAACATGATGTATTCATATAATCGCGCCAAATTATTTAGGATTGCGGCATAACTGTAGTTAGGGGTGTTCATGGGTCGGTTTGGATCGGCTATTGGTCAAAATCAAAACCAAACCAATTTAATCGGTTTTAAAATTATCAAAACCAAACCAAATATAATATACATTTATCGATTTGGTGGTTATCGGTTTCGGGTTGGTTTGGTTATTCGGTTATTAACCATACACAAAAATAAAAGAAACAATTCATTCAAAATGTGAAAAAAGTGACAACAATCCATTCAAAACGAAAAATAGTTAGAATGACTTAAATTACTGAACTTTCGATCACTAAATTTACTATCAATAAAACTTTAAAATTCACTATATTGGCCTAGAAGGAAGAGACAATAATATTTTCAGTCCCACAAAGAATTGTCATTGACACTCATATGCATGAAATCAATAAGATAAATATTTTCATCTTAGGCATTTTTGCTTTCAATAAGTAAATTATAAAGAAATTTTAATGAAAATATATGTAAGATCTTTAAAGTTGTTTATAAAAACAATATATTAAGTATGTCTATTAATAAAATATATGTATATAATTTATCGGTTCGGTTCGGTTATTTCTTCGGTTTTTTCGAATAAAACCATAACCAAACCAAATACTATCGGTTTTCAAAAATCTAAAACCAAATCAAACCAAACCCAAATAAAATCGGTTTTATTTTATCGATTTGGTTCGATTTTTCGGTTTGGATCGGTTTTTATCCAAACCGTGAACACCCCTAACTGTAGTTATATTATATGTACATGAAATCACGAATGTAAAGTATGATTCCGACATAACCCTAGCTTTATTTACTTGTTAGTTGATCAAAACTTTTAATAGACAGCTTTGGATTAAAAAGAAGAAAAAAAATGCACCAGCCGGGAATCGAACCCGGGTCTGTACCGTGGCAGGGTACTATTCTACCACTAGACCACTGGTGCTTGGTTGTTGGAATTTGTATGCCAGAGCATTTTTGTTTTATGAAACGAGAATATAAAGAAAAAAGTTCTCATAAACATAATTAAATGAAAAAATAAAATTTAAAAAAATTCAACATAATTTAGAAGTTGTGAAAAATACAATTTTGGACGAAATATTAGACTATTGTCTAATATCTATAAAAGTTTAAATTGTGATCTCATTTCTCTCATAATATTTTTGTTTTAATCAAAATGAATCTTTAGATTGTAGTTTATTCATAAATCATAAGATAAATAAATAAAAGGGTCATTTACTGAATCAATCAGATTTTATTTTTTTTTGCTTATTTTGATTTCTAATTCAATGTCGGTTATTCTTACCAACTAATTTGTATTCTAGTTGTATAAATTTCATTAAAGTAAAAAAGTGTTCACTATTCTATTTTTAGGTCTCGAATTCTAACTTTTTATTAAAAAAAAAAGTTAACTCTTTCTACCACAATCTTTGATGATAATTTGAATTCTATCAAGTGAGTGAATTTTTAGTACCAGTTGATGGGATAGTAAGTATCCAAAATATGCGTCAACCATATATTCCAAAAGTTTTCTTTCATTTTAAAATTCATGTTTAGTCAAACACTTTTACATAAATTAAGAATGCAAAAAATAAATATCTATTTATCCTTAATCGGAGATTTAAAGTCAGATGATTGATCTGTAATTACCTTAAATAGTTCTCTCGTTATGTTTGAGTGAAATTTTGAATATAAATTCAAAGTAATATGACCTCAAAAAAGTGGAATAGAAAACTCTAAGGACAAATTAAACAAAAAGTCTATTGAGTTAAAAAAAAATTACACAACAAAGCAAATGTAACGTTTTAAAAAACCATTATAGTTTTAAAAATTAAAAATTGTATCTATATGTAACGTTTTAAAGAAAATTTCTCTCCTTTTCAACATAAATATGACAATTTTATTTTGTATTATATACCAAATGTAATTATATTCCATATTAACTGTATTTTGTATTATGATCAATCGTATACATATTTTGTATCAATTATATTATGACATTTTCTATTTTGTTAATTATATTCGTCAATACAATTTATGTTCGTTAATTTAATTATATTCGGTATATGATACAAATCAATTGTATCAATTATATTCAAACAATTATACTTGTATTTTGTTTCAACTGTATTTGTATTCTATATTAATTGTATTCGTGATACAATGAATATAACATGTATTGATCCTCTCTTCGTCTCGCTCGCCTCTCTCCTTCTAATATGTAGCTAAATACAATGATTTTTTATACAAATCAATTGTATTCATGATACAACTTGATACAACGAATACAACAAGTAATCAACCTCTATCACCTCTCCTCCCATAGCATGATTTCATATCGCATGGCCAAACGAGCCCTTAGTATCAATTGAGTGAAAATATCAACCTTAATAATATCAATATAATATATTATACTGATTTGGTATTAGTTAAACAACATTAGTTTGGAGGTATATAATATAATATAATTAATTATTTAGTAAGTTATGAATGTAAATGATACTATATGTTTGAACTATTTTATTTTTGTGAGGTATTTTCTTAGTTTCTATTAAAATTTATATCACGATATCCTTTTCAGACTCTAGTTGCGGAAATAAACGGGGTTGTTGTAAATGCAAAATCCAAAGCAACCAAACGTGGCCAAATGACGTACCCACGTCCTCCGAAGAAATCCCATTTTTACACTGTTAGCCGATAGTGTAGAAAGGGGTTAGAGGAGACGGAAAAAATGGCGATTTCCATTTTCATGCCTTCGGTTTCTCTTCCTCAACAGTTTCTCTATTCAATTAATCCCCAAAAATTTAGCTCAATTTCTGTTATTAGAAAGAATCAGAGTTTTCTTCGTTGCGCTTCATCGGATTCTGCTCCTCCCCCGACTAGGTAAAGCAGAAAAATAGTTTCAATTTTTTTGCTTAGTTAACAAGTAATCGTATCATTTATTTGAAAAATTAGTATTATTATTTTTTATCTTAGTATGTTGTATCCATTGTCCTGAAGAATTAATGGTTATTGTGTATCTACATTTGTTTATTTGCAGGCAAGAGATGTCATTAAGTGTTGGAATGTACCTAATTCCTCATCCCAACAAGGCAAGTAGTAAATCATACTCCATCTCTGTCTATTTTTACTTGTCCACTATTGACTTGACGACAACTCTTTGCTATGTTGCCCTTCGAATATAATATTCTTTATGTCCACTTTTAATTGTCATATTGTGCTTTTTGAAAGGCAATTTAACTATATTTCAAAGTTAAATTAGAATACATTAATTTGATATTTTGAAACAAAAAATTTAGATATTCAAAAACTATACGAAAAATACTATAAATTCTAGTAATTTTTTGCATATCAATATGTTGAAAAAATACATCCTAAAATGTTAGTCAAAGTTATTATCGTTTGACTCTAAAAAGGAAACTATGACAATTAAAAGTAGACGGAGGTAGTAAAATTCAATGTTTTGAGAAATGATTATAGTAAGTGATAAATTATCTTTTGATTTTTCATATTGGATAAATAAAGGAAATATTTATTTTTCGTATAATGGACAACTAAAAGTAACAGAGGGAGTATTGTTAATATTTTATAGGGAAAAGGCTCAAATATGCCATCGAATTTTCAGAAAAGACTCATTTATGTCATCCGTTAAAAGTTTGGTTCATCTATGTCATTACTGTTTAAGAAAAGACTCATTCATGCCATTATTTTTTAACGGTGGTTTTGCAAAACCATTTTTTACACGTGGCCAATTATAATTCGGCCACGTCATTATTTTTTTCAAAATTTTGATTTTTTATTATAAAAAAATAATGACATGGCCGAATTATAATTGGCCACGTGTAAAAAATGGTTTTGCAAAAAATGTTTGTTCAGAATTTTGATTTTTTATTATAAAAAAAATAATGACGTGGCCGAATTATAATTGGCCACGTGTAAAAAATGGTTTTGCAAAACCACGTTAAAAGATAATGGCATGAATGAGCCTTTTCTTAAACGGTAATGGCATAGATGAGCCAAACTTTTAACGGATGACATAAATGAGCCTTTTCTGAAAGTTCGATGGCATATTTGTGCCTTTTCCCTATTTTATAATGGCTCTTCTAATTATGTAAATTTCTCTCAGTTTGGACCAATATGAGTAACACTACTTCCTTCTTGTTTATTTCATATGAGCCCTGGTAGTTTTCTTGTCCTATGATTTATGTTTTCTGTACTTCGATTATCGCACTCTTTTGTTGTTGTTACTATTCCTTGTTCTCTTAATGCCATGCACTGTTTTTTTCCAACTATTTACTATGTCCTCTCTACTTTTAATATTTTCTTTTCATATTTTGCTTTGATATGTGTTACTTAAGCTGAGGGTTTTCCGGAAAAAACCTCTCTACCTTCCCGAGGTAGAGGTAAGTAAGGTTTGCGTACACTCTATTCCAGTCAAATTTTCACTAAGGGGGTTTAAAAATATAAAGAAGTAAACACACGAAGAAGTAAAATGGGGTTAAACATCTACTATGTAATTTTCCGTCTGAGGGGTTGATCAGCCCTACGTGGCTCCACCCCTGCTCTACCATCCTCAGGATTTACTTGTGGGATTACACTGGATATGTTGTTGTATATTTGATTGAGCATGGGGTTCTCTTTAAAAAAAGACTTTTGGAACATACCATTAGGAACCTTAAAAGATTTTGGCAATTGTGCTATTAACTGAGTTTTGAATATAATATTTGTACATATTTAGGGGTTTTTAGATGCATATATAAGGTTTGGCCAAAACTACTCACAGTGTTATCAAAGGCGCGCTTAAGCCCTGAAGTGAGGCTCAAAATGTGTTAAACGCTTCGTCTCGCTTTTCCTTGCTCCAGAGGAGATTGGTATTGGTAGAGTCGCATTCAACCCCGTCTTTGTGTGCTTTAGTGTCGTCATCAAGGTTCTAAGGCAAACATTTCCTTGCCAATGGGCCTCTTATGAAGAAGTGAAACTAAATAATTGATATTTCACTTTATCATAAAAAAAATTCAATTTCTTTGGTCATATATTTGTCATTCATGTTTATAATTATTAGTCTTGGACTAAACATATATATTTGTATTCTTTTCTCCCTTTGCGCCTTTTTTCATTAAAGCCCACGCTTTATTTGCGCTTTGCGCTTAAAGCCCCCACAGACCTTAGAGCTTTTTTGCATTTTTCGCCTTTGATAACACTGGCTACTCATCGAACTCATACACTCAAGCCTACATCCACGGTCTGGCCCTGGTCTACGTGCCATAACATATAACATTTCCATAACATTTATGTTTTGAAGGTTGAGAAAGGTGGAGAAGATGCATTCTTTGTGAGCAGTGATGATGGGGAAGTGATTGTTGTTGCTGATGGTGTTTCCGGGTGAGATGCTTTATTATGGTTTCTTTTAAAGATGTTTCCTCAGTTTGCAAAAGCATGTCATTTTGTTTATCAGTAACTCTTTGGCGTAATTTTAGTGAACATAAGTTATATGTTAAACTATCTTTAACTATGAAGACTTGTGGTTCATATTAACTTCATGTAATTTCTTAATGTGTAGAACTTTAAGGAATCAATTTTCAGTATTATACAAAAAATTATATGCCATGACTTTCTTTCTATGATCACGTATTTGTGTTGGGGACAAAGAAAGTATGAACTTTGTAGACAGTACTAGTCTGGCCTTCAACCTCACAAGTAAAGTCGGACATGAGACGGCTACAGCCTACGTGTATTGTTCTGGTGTTCTCAACTCCTCTCTACCTGTGATTTTTGTGGTTTAGAACTCACTGAGATCCCATTTGGAGATGTTTATAATCACATGCTTGCACCACAATAAATCAACATATGAGTACAACTTCCAAGTCGTTTTCGCCAAGTAGAAACTCTCATCTCAGGCAAGGCAAGAAAATTGAGCACGATATTTGATTTACTGTCCCATAGTAATCAATCAACTATGCCTCAAAGCTAGACTAATTAGAAACAAGCTTATATCTGCTTTAAGGCAGAATCGATTGCAGGACCTTATTTTGAGCTCTTTTCTTCTGTACTTTCTGGAGGGGAAAATTTTGGGAAAGGTCCATACTAAGAGCTCAATCACATTAAGAAAAATTATGTCTGGACTCTTTGCAAGTTTCAAGTGTTATCTTTTTTTTTGGAAGTTACCGGAGTAAGAAAAATTATCTCTCAGTTTCACTTTTTCAGTAATATAAGGTGCACCTTCTAATAGCGCCATATATAAGGATGAACATTACAATACAGTATTACTTAAGTTGAATCTTCTAAATGATATCATCAGAAATCCTGTTTATTTTCATATCGAGACTGAAACTACTACTCAACTGGAGTAACAACGCCAGAGCAACCTGATGCATGAATTTTTTTTAAGTTGAACCTCTCTACCTGGTATACGACTATAAGCCATCAGAATCCTGCTGCATGAAAATTCTTTATTTCAACTTCTGAGTGGTATATTTGTGAGGATTGAAATTTCGTCTTTTAATTTAGAATTACATACATATACACAAAACTAGTTCATAGACGAGGTTCCCTAGAGAGGATTATGCAATGAAAGGATATTAACTAACTCTCAGGACTAACCTTATCAGCTAATAAGGAACTATGATGATTCCGACTGTTATTCTGCTTACACTCAGCAATCAACAAATTGAAGCTCTTAGATCAGTTACAGTGCAGAACTAAAATAGCCACAAAGTCCACTGGCATTATCTCCAAATGACAATTTTTTGAACCTAAATGTTTGTGGCTCAGAGTTGCATAAATATCTAACATATATGTTATTCCCTCAAATGTTCTTTGCAGTTGGGCTGAAAAGAATGTGGATCCTGCACTGTTCTCCAGAGAATTGGTGGCTAACGTTTCTTCTTTGGTGGGGAATGTGGAGGTACCAACATTGTGAAGACAAACCATCCTGATTTTAAAATTAGTTTCAGGCGTCACGTCACATTAAACAACAGTGACCTGTGTTTCCGTTTAAGTAATCACCTAGATTTAATCAATTGTTATGGATTCTTCATTGAGACATTCTGGTTTACTAAATTTGCCAGGTCAATGATGATCCTCGGATTCTCATAAAGGGATCCCATGCTGCTACATCATCTATCGGTTCAGCTACGGTGTAGGTTCCTTTTATCTTCAGTGCTATTGTTCTCGAGCATTGATATTCATCCAGATTGAGGAACTTGATTATTATCATTGAATGTGGCTTTCTATGTGGAAGATAGAATTGTTTCTGTATTCAAGAACGGAATTTTGAAGATAGGCAGTGTTGGGGATTGTGGACTACGGGTTATTCGTAAAGGTACAAACTCATATTTTTCTTTTGCGACTTTAAGGTTCAATTTTATCTGATGTCATTATTGCCTATTTGGGTGCAGGTCAGATGATTTTCTCCACATTTCCACTCGAACACTATTTTGACTGCCCATACCAGTTGAGCTCAGAGTCTGTTACTCAAACATACCTTGATGCCATAGTATGGAAAGTTATATACGGTGAATCATATTACACTTTTCCTTTCAAGTAAAATGAACTTGGTTCTATTTGCTTCCTTGTCATTATTGGTATCTGGTTAGGTAAAGAGGATAAACTTTATAATCTTTTCTCAGCTGTCAAAATTTTACACAAAAAGCTTTCAGAGACCTCCTTGCTTTCTAGTACTTGCAGAATCCAGACTAATTTGGATGCCAAGTAATTAAAATTTACTCTTTTCCTGATCACCTGATGGAGAAAATCAATTTTCTCTAATGTGCACTTTGGTATCGTTAGAGATCTTGTTACTTATCATCCAATAAGCCTACATGTCCTAGGGAGACGTTTCTGTCGCCTCACCACATAAATTTTGTGATATTGTATTTGACTGTTAGAGTAAACGCGCTCTTTGTCTCATCTCTGTGTATGTTCTTTTCACAGGTTAGCACGGTGAACTTGCAAGTAGGAGATACAATTGTAATGGGCTCAGATGGCCTCTTTGATAATATTTTCGATCAAGAGATTGTTTCAGTTGTGACCACAAATGATGATGTCTCTAATGCTGGTACTTGTTTTCTACTTAAATCTTATTTCTGCTTGGAAACAGTTGACTCATTTCTATGGTATTCTTACTTGCTTGGTATCAATGTTAGCTAAGGCATTAGCTGATTTGGCGCGCAATCATTCTGTGGATACCAAATTCGACTCCCCCTTTTCACTGGAGGCTAGAGCAAGGGTAATTTTTCAATCTGATTCAATATATATATAAATTGTCCTCAAATGCATTGTCTGTCACGGTATAAGATGATACTTATTTTTTAGCACTAACAGGGATTTGATGTTCCTTGGTGGAAGAAAGTATTTGGAATGAAGTTTACAGGTATGACTAGAAGGAATCATTTTTCGAGCCTTTTCTTGCCATATTCTTGATGACATGCCCGACAAGGTTTCTTTCCTATGTAACCTTGAACAGGAGGAAAGCTCGATGATATTACAGTCATTGTTGGAAAGGTGAAAACTACGTGAGCAAGCTGGCCTGAACACCACTGATATTTTCGACAACAAAAAAAGGTCGTGAATTGTCATATATCTTTGGTGCCAAGACATTGGCAGGGTGAATCATTGGGCAATCGAATGGTGTTTTAAACTACGAGTTGAAGGATGAGGTAAGACGAGAACAACTTCAAACTATACTCGATCATTGTTTTTGTATTGTAAGTTGTCTGTTGTAAGACAATATATGGCACTATTATCTGTATGACATTTGGGACCATTTAAATTCTTCATTGATAAAAAATACAACCATAAAAAAGCTTGCTAACTTGTTTAACACCTGCAGTCTCCAAAGAAATGGTAAGTATTATAGATGTTATATCTCTTCTGGAAAATGAAATTTCATTATGTTACTATACATGTTTTGGGGAATGAAGTTTCATTATGTTACTATACATTTTTCGCCTCTCTACCTTCAAGGTATGCGTACACAGTACATCTATCCTCCCTAGACCTCACTTTTCGTGGGATTACACTGGTATGTTGTTGTTTTACTATACTGCTTACACTGCCAATGGATTAATCCGTATTACATAGCAGCACCTTCATTTTCCAGTAGGTTTGGGGTCAGCTAATTTCACGAGACACATGCTACCTCTTATCAACATAGATATCAATTTACTCTGAACGTGAAAAAAAGGGATAGATAGGAAGAGGTCACCTCGCATATATAATCCTGGAATATTATTCCTGGTTTGAAACCAAATTCCTCCTAGAAATGGAATTTAAATTTTAATGTTAAATAAGACATCATACATTATTCATATATAATGATAAGTCTTCAACATAATATAATTGTGAGGGAATCTGTAATTAATTCTAAAGTAATAAAAGAAAGAGTACATTTGCAGCAACAAACTGGCTTCTGCTCCTCTTCATGCAATCGCGTGACTACGAGCCTTTTGCCACGGACTACAATTTATGTATCATATTTATTGAATTTATATACATAAAAAAATATTATTATACATAAAGTACAATGAATGAATTAAAATCATAATATCTTACTAAATTATGTATAATATTTATTGAATTCATATAGAAAATAAATTCATTATACATAGAGTACAATGTATATGTATGATTCATTATAATGTAATTTTTGTTAAATGATTCATTGTAAAATAAATTTAAGAATTCAATGATTCATTGTAAAAATAAATTCAGTATACATAATGTTTATTGTTTCTTAATAATCAAATATTATTCCTTGTATCTTTACTTTTTACATTCAATGTATGTTGGTGAGAGAATAAACTATATAAGCAAGATAATAAATTTCTTGAAACCATATCCAAAAATGATTTCTCATTTAAAATGTGTCACAAAATCAACAATAGAATCATATTTCATAAAATTGTCTTAAATATATTTGTATTTTTAAAAATTTATTAATTTATAATATTAATGGGACCACATTTATATAGCGCTCTTCTGAAAATACTTTTTTAAAAATTATCTTATCAAAATGAGTGATTTTTTTCATTCGCCCAAGTCGGAATTGAAGAAAAATACTATCTTAAAGAGATTATTAATTTATTAAGGTTTTACAATAACTATCATTCAGTATTCGACAATTAATTATAAATTAACATTGGATATATTAGACTTAATTCAACTATATCGCACGAATGAAAAAAAAGAAAAGAAAAGAGAAACCTTTCTAACATGTCTTTGAAATATGGCCATGAACAACATACTCATAAATGAGTCTATACTAAGATACTACTTCTTGACTCACATAATTTTATAACCTAAAGTTCTTATATCAAATTTATTGCGATCTATATAACACATTCTAGAAAAGACAACATTTGCCACTACTAATAGATTGTGGTTGGCTTAACTCAGCATAGGAGCTTATTATTGATTTTTAAATATATCACTCCTTCCGTTCCTTTTTATATGTCATCCTATTCTATAAATAGCTGGACCATAATACTTGCTATTTTATAAAATTTATGCATAAATTATCCTATTATACCCTTGATAGAGTAAAAACAAATAAGTCTCGTCGCACCACTAGTAAAAGGATGTGCACTGAGCAACAAGTGAGGTTATTGGATATTGATTTTTAAATATGTTAATTCGTTAGTTATCATCATGATTTCGAATTTTGGATCGTGACACTGTCTATATTTACAATATCTTTGACCTCCCAAAAATGTTAGCAAATTATATCTCAGTTTCATTAATGACAGTAAAGCAACAAATATATGTAGAATCTGAGATTGAAGAATATGTTTAGTGATAACAACGTTTTAAAACTTATACACATGCTCAAAATTGAACGTGAAACACAATAACTAAAAATCAAGGATAGAGTTGTTACACAAATAACCTCCAAAATTTTAAGGATAATCATTGATAAGTAATTTGAAAACAAATCTAATTTCATATATCAAGTTAGATTACACTATATTTCTTCCATTTCAAAACAAATGATGTTTTATATATAAAATAAAACAAAATAACTTTTTTCTTCCAAAATTATCTTTGTGTATATGAAGTTTACACCATTAAAAAGTCATTTTTTTCTCCAAACTAAAAATATCACTTATTTTGATACAGTTGAATAGCATATGAAGTAAATTTACCATGTCAAAAAAATAGGATAAATTCTAAAACTTAATACTCCCTCTGTTCATCTTTACTTGTTCACTATACTAAAAATAGTTGTTCAATAATATTTGTCCAGTTTGAAACCCAAGAAATAATTTATTCTTGTGTTTATTGTACCCTTACTATTCAATATGAGTAATATTTAATACATTTTTTCAAAACATTAAATTTAATATATTCAAAGAGTAATATAGTAATATTATCTCTATTATTTAGAGTATTGTTTCTTAATGTATATACCAAGTCAATAATGAATGACGACTATTGTTGAACTGAGTAAGTACTAGTCGATCATAGAACACGAAGCCTTGGGAACCCAATATTAATGCTTTCTAATTAAACAATAGACTTTAAGCTATGTTGTCAAATGTTCTCATCTAATCTGAATTAGTTGCAATTTGGTGTCTGGTCCTAGATGCTTTCAGAGCTAGATGATTGCCTTGCTGATATAATTTCGATCTTAAATATCTCAAATTCGAATCTTCTACAAATACAATTTCTTCTCTAAATTATATTTAAGAAAAATATTTGATGTTTACTCTTGATGAGATGCATTTAATCTGTCCTATTTATCATGTATCATTTCGTAAGTTACCTATATATCTAATATCTTATCCAATTTTCACCCCATACAACCTCTTCAAACTCTAACAATAGAAGCTATGTTGGCAAAGATTAGATTGTTTAAATCTTCATTACTCATATTGAAATTTGAATAAATAAAAGAAAATAAGAAGACAAAACATCCATTTTCCCAATATAATCGAATCTTCCATATAACAAGGCTCATTAAATGTTTTGGATTGGAGCTTGCATGTTTTTTTTTTTTTTTGTTTTCTCTATGACGGTGAAGATGTTTGTTTTTTACGCAAACTTTTAATACTTAGATTTACTAATTAGTTTAAACAAAATTAATTAATTAATTAATTAATATTGGTTTAAACAATACATTTACAAGGTTCTGATCCTGTCGACCACCCTATCTTCTTCCTATGACCGTAGGGTTTGAAAAAATTGTAATTGTTCATTTTTATTTGTTCGATTTGAATTTTGTACGCTTTAGATTAGATTTATAAATTGTTTTTACGATATAATTAGTTGTTTGTAGTGGCATTTATTTAATTTTCTAGGGTATCAATTTAAATTTGTTATAATAGTTATATCTTTTGTTATATATCTCTCTTTATTGTAAAACCTTTTATGTTTATCGAATCCTGAAAGTCCTAGGTGGGTAAAGTGCACCTAACAAAGACAATTAATCTTATGTTTAAAAATTAAACTCAAAATCTCTTATTAAGATAATTGATCTTTTGCTTAGAAATCGAACTCGAAATCTTTTATTAAGTATAAAGAGTTACTTATTATCCTACTATAAGAAATTCTTGTTGGTCTAATGCATAAAAGTTAAACATAATTGGATCAAACTTATACAACTAACCGTATATACATTTTTTTTCTAAACTATCAAGTTAGTCTTAAATCACATATGAATGTGTAGTGATAGGAAAATTTTCTAATTATAATTTTTACTTTTTTTAATCATCTGAAAGTTATCGATGTTACTAATTTAAATTTATGCCACGTAAAATCTAAACACCAATTAAGAGTACAAATTTACATGTGTATCGCATAAAGTCATACTCTCGATCCTTTTCTAATATAATATATTTTTATTTTCATAGCTCAAATCTATCATATCTTACTGAGAGAAAAAATTACATTATTTATTAGTCCAAGAGGAACTTTGACTTGGTTTTTTAGAATTTTAATACTACTAGAGTAGCATATATTATAATATTATATAATAATATTAGAGTCTACTAGGGAAAGAGAGTTTCTTTTCTTGGAAGAGCAGATTACAAGTTTGGAATCATGTGGAAAGCATTCAATGCACATCTTAAGAAACATTTGTTAATTTTTTGGACTTTTTTACGGCAGGAATCTCATACGTAATTAATTTTCGTACCAACTTAATGTGAACATATGTTAGAAAATATAGTTAATTAAATAAATAATTAAGTGGACATGAAATATATTGATTTTACTATATACAATATATAATATCCCTTTTTGCGACCCTTGTTCTATGGTAAAATCAATTTGAATTTTCTTCTTTATTTGTTTTGCAATCTTTTGGGTGAGGGAAAGTAAAGAATAATTAGTCTGGGAATAGATCGGATCACATAAAAACTTATTATATATATATGGTCTTGTTTTATATTTTTGTAATTATATATATTCTACTTTTTACAATCTCATAACTCTTGACTAGTCAACTCTTCATCGCGATCGCTTGATTCAAATTTTTAAGCCACTAATTTAAGTTTCCAACCTGTCGAGTATTATCTATTTTGATCCGTCCAGATATTTGTATTTCAAAATATATGAGGTTAAAATTAGGTATAATTTGTTTTAAATACATTGTATTGATCAAGTGGATTCGCATGTATCTGGAATAAACAACAAATCTAGCTCGCTTGTCTTGCCCCTCTCCCATCTCGCTCGTCATTCTCATATGTATCTGTCATCCCAAATACATGTGAATCACACTAGATACATACAAATACATGTATCTGGTGAGATGGTCTCCTTCCACATCTTGTTCGCCTCTTCTTACTATTTTAGTGTATCCAATAGCAAAAATGCATGTATCTAAAGTGTATCTTTCTTAATATATAATAGAAAACTCTTAATTAATAGTAATATACATAATATTTTAAAAGTATATATAATAATGTTATATATAATACTTCATTTGTCCCTAATTACTTATCCACTTTTAAATTGACACACCTATTAAGAAAACAATGAATGACATAGTGAGTTTATCATTTTTACCTCTATTAATTATGAAGTGAATGAATTAAAAACTTAAGATTTTCAAAAATTTCTATATTTTTCAAAGTAATTAATTGAGGGTATAAGAAATTGTCTTTTCTTGATTTGTCAAAATGGATAAGTAATTAGGGATAACTAAAAAAAGAAAAATGAACAAATAATTAGGGACAGAGAAAAATAGTAAAGTATATCTAATTGTGTAAAGAAATTGAAGACATAGTCATTAACCTAAGTATTTGTGCTTAATTCCATGTGAATGTCTGCCAACAAACATTCACGTTGAGTCCATATTTTGCTAAAACCTAACGCTAGTTGTTCTATGTAATATTTATTGCCTATTGTCTTATCTATTAGCTAATCTTGAAATAAATCTTCTTCTTGTATTTTCAATAATGGATACTATAACATTTAATTATATATACTAAAATATATATTTTTTTTTAAATTATACTATCAATGTAATGTAACATATCGTCGTATTTTCCGGGTTACTCATTTCATTTATTATGTGCAATTAAGTATTATAGTTTTCTGATTGGGAATTTTTTTCGTACACTCATTATAAATATATTATATAAGTTAAACTGATAAATAATCATGTGCCATCAACCTTACACATTTAGATATTTTAAGACTAGAGTTTTGTGCATTGTTAAAAAATATTTAAAATAATCCCATCGTTTTTATTTAGTTGTTTGAGTTTGAGTATTTGACATGGAGTTTTAAAAAGTAAAGAAATATTTATGTAAATGTATCATGTGGTCTTAAACATGTCAGGTAGAAAACCAATTTATATTAATTCCTTATGCATTAAATCCTTATATCGATCCCATCTTAATCATCCTACATACATGTATTTTTACTGAATTAAATCTTCGTGTCCTGCCTTTATTTTTACGCGACATTTTCTCCAATTAAATCTACAAACCAATTTAAATTCCTTAACTCGGATCCACTAAAAAATTAAAACACAAAAAATCCATCATTTATCAATAGTGGATACGATTTCACCATTCAAATATCATTCAAATTAAAACACAAAAAACTTCATTGTTCATCAAGAGTTGACACCTTTTTAGAAATTTATTTATAACTCAATCAACTAATATTTATTTAATTCTTTTTAATTGAATTAATACACACGCAAAATGTGAACATTAAAATTACTTTTCTAAGAAATATGTCACATCTTCAATTTTATAAGACCAAAATAATATATATGTAGAGATATAGATTAATTAGTACTAAAATAAATTGTTAACTTATTAAGTATGAGTCAAAGGAGACAACACACCCCACGTTATAACTTATGTACGCCATGGCGGTGGTCAACCACTTTTGATTTGATTTTCTATGATTTATTCTATCACGTACATAATTAGATCATCTGAAAATAATGATAAATTTAAAATTTATTTTTTATGAATTAATATTTGTTTATTTTTCAAAATATACACATAGTTCAAGTTTGATGCATTGAATTCTATTAAATCTATTGTGTTTAATCTTAGATTCATCATTGTCTAAAAATAATTATATGTAACTAGTTATAAAAGTTACATTAAAAATTCACACAACGATTATCCAATCTTTGTAATTGAAAAATGACCAATGTCAGGGAGTTTTAGATTTCACATGTGAAATTTGATATATTGTCATAAATTTTCACATGTGGAATTTGAAAAATTGAAACTCCATGATAGTGCTATTTTTCAAATATGTTTTAAGTCTGAAAAAAGACTAGTGAATGGGGATGTGGTGGGGGTGGAGTGGGGGGGTTAATTTCTACTAATGATGCTAACAACACGTAAAATAAGTCAAAGTTATCTATTATAATAATATGTTAAAATATGATACTGATTCAAGTCGGTCAAGTCGTATTTTAATTTGTTTATCTTTTTTTTTTAGTCCATATAAGAAAATTTATTTTTTGATAATTTCTTAAATTGAAATTTTCATATAGCATCTCTAATACCACATGATTAAATAACGTACATTCTATATATCTTTAATTTGACAGTACAAAATACAAGTCTTCGTTAGCTTTTTAAATTTTATATCAAGTTAAAATCAGACAAATAAATTGAAACACACGAGGAAGAAGGATGGGATATTTTATTTTGTCAATCATCAATTGTAAACACAACTAACTCACTCCTCCTTGTATAAATCATTATAAATAGGGTGTTTCCCAACTAATTTGTCTTCCAAATTAAACTACACTTTATCCTATACTATACTATTACTACTATATACTATTATTATTTCTTTGCAGAGAATTAAGTTATAATTAATTTCTCTTTTTTCAAGATTACTATACTTGACCAAATTTAATGGGAGGAAGTTCATCTCCTTGTGCTTCATGCAAATTATTAAGGCGTAGATGTACAAAAGATTGTATATTTGCTCCATATTTTCCACCAAATGAACCTCACAAATTTGCCATTGTTCACAAAGTCTTTGGTGCTAGCAATATTAGCAAGATGTTGCAGGTAATTTCCTCTTTTTCCTTCCTCTAATTATCATAATTTATATCAGCTAATTTTTTTTATCAAACTCATTTGTATTGATTACGCCATATAGAGATATTGTAGTGTACATACTATTAGGATAAGATAATTTGTGATTTTATTCTTCTGTCAAAAGTAGGAAAGAGTGAAAGTCTAATCAATCAATCGAGAATCGAGGGTTAGCTCTCACCTCTAACCTCACAAAAAAATAATAATCAAAATGGTGAAAGGGGTTTATTCAAACTCATTTAATCGGAATATCATATTGCATATATTATAAGATTAATTTTTGTTTTAATGTATATAATAGATATTGAATTTTGTTATAAAAGCATAGTGCCATTTTGAATTCTTTTACATTAGCATTATATGCAGTGATTGTATAATGAGTTTTTACAAGTATTAGTTTGTATGGTAGCATGTTTGTTACCATTTTTTTAAAAAAAATTATCAATTAATGTTTATCATAAAGATTTTTTTTATAATATATTTATATTAGCTAAACTCTAAATTTATTACCTTATAAATGATTGATTTGAGTGTGTAGAAATATTGTTTAAAATATTTTTTTTAACAGTAATTAATTAAGTTTGGTCAAACTTTTTAAAAGTGCTTCTAGATGTATTTTTCTCAAAAGTAGAAAATACTTTTGGTGAAAAACTATCTTTTTAGCTTCTTAATACTCTCTCCGTAAAATTGTCATGGTTTCTTTTTTAGAGTCAAACTATAAAAACTTTGATTAACATTTAATGATGTATTTTTTCATCATATTGATATAAAAAAAATTGAAATTTATAGTACTTTTCGTATAGTTTTTGAATATCTAAATTTTTTGTTTAAAATATCGAATTAATATTTTTAACTTTGAAAATTAGTCAAATTGACTTTCGAAAAACGCAACATGATAATTAAAAGTAGACGGAGGGAGTAACAACTTTTGCTACTCTCGAGAAGCATGTATTTTCTCTTAAATAGTTGACCAAACACCTAAATTTTTAAAATAAACACTTTTAACCTCTCAAAAATTTGGTCAAACAGACTATTAATATCGTCATGTTATATGCAACATGTGTATACAATTAATTTATTTATTTTTCTTTTCTTGGTCTTAAATCTTAATGTAATATTTTTCAGGAATTACCTATACAACAGAGAGCAGATGCAGTAAACAGTTTAGTATATGAAGCAAATGCAAGAATGAGAGATCCGGTTTATGGTTGTGTTGGTGCAATTTCTTTTTTACAAAATCAAATTTCACAATTAGAAATGCAACTTGCTATGGCCCAAGCAGAAATATTATGCATCCAAATGCAGAATAATAATAATAATAATAATAATAATAATAATAATTTGTGTGAAATTCAAATTAATAATAATGATAATAATTTGCAACATGAGTACATAAGCTTGTTGCAAATTATTAATAATACAAATTAAATAACTTGTTTTGTTCATTTTGTTGTAACTTGTAACACAATGTTCGGACTTCTAACAAAATGATGAAATGTATTTTTGCCTTTTTGAGTACTAGTTAATGAAATTGATTTAAGTTTTATATAATTGACAGCGTAAAATTGACGTTATTGTCCCTTCTGTTAATTTTCAAATAATTTTTGTTGTACATTGAATCTTCCTTTTTATCAGTAGTATTAGCGTTATTTTGTTCTTCAATTTCAACTATCATCGATATCTTTTGGTGTTTCGACTATTACATTATTATATTGTTATTATTGTTTTTTTTTTTGTCTGTTGTGTAATGCTATGCATTTCGTATTATTTCAATTTTGTTATTGCTTCCACATATATTTCTCCCTTTTAAAATTATTTGGCATGCTCTATGTTAGTCGGGATCAGTTGGGGAACCACTATATCTTTATGAGGTAGATGTAAGATCTTCGTACACTTAAATTTTTTCACACCTTATTTATGACATTACACTGAATATGTTACTATCTTAAAAGGATATATATAACATGAATAAATAATATTTATGGAGGATAAATAAGAAACTCAATAGTTTTTTTAAAAAAAAAAATTGTTTTCTGAAATTATTTTGTTCAAACACATCATATATATTGGCAACTAGCCCTAGCTAATTGTAGAGAAAGGGTATATTTGCATATATCTACTTGTTTATTTATATACATCATATATAATTGAGGATGTGTGCAAATTAGGGGAAATGGCTTTTTAAGTCGATGTATATATATCCTCTTGTTTATATTTTTTATGTGAGTGTATATCAATGAAAATTTAATATCATATACAACAATATAGACAATATAGTGTTTTTTTGACTTAATTAGTATATGAATTTAACCTTAAATCAATTCAAATCACCATTAATATTTCTCAATTTTGTATATAATTTCATCTAAGTATTTTTAATGAATACATTCAAAAATATTTTTAAAAATTCAATCCAAATTTAGATGTGATCTTGGGGTTTTGATAATTTTTTCTACAAATGAATCAAGAGGATTTTTGTGGTAGTAGTGAAATAAATTGCAGCAATATACCACTAAAGGATATGCTGGTCTGGATAGAGTTGTTCTTCTTTTAACCAAAGGTCTAAGGGTTCGAACCCGGGTATGAAATCTCCGAATGTAATCCAATGCGGTGGTGGTCAAGGTGGCTCACGAGGAGGATATGATGAGCAAAATCCAATAAACTGTTGAAAGTAAGAATTACTACTTTAACCTGCAGCTGCATCCACCCCACACCCCATAATGCAATACTTGACCCAGCCCACTGCTATCACTACTTTTATCGAGTTTTCTGTAGCATTAGTGTATGATGCAGGATCAATACGGGTACCAAACACTCGAAACAGTTCACTGGAGGGGCGAGGTGTCACCCCACTGTAATAAAGTGAGTTGGGTGAGTGCTGGTGGAAGATAGCAACTACCTGGGAGAATGTTCAAAGACTCAAATGATCCAATGGATCAACCCTAGTGATGTGGAAGAAGACCTGAGTGATCAAAAGTTCAAATCCTAACAAACAAGAACATCAAGTAAGTTCTTTCCGTTGGTGAGTACTGGTGGGAAGATAGCAACTACCTGGTGAATTAGTCGAATAGTGTGGACTATAGATGCTACCATAATAGTTTTGAGCAGACTGTTCTAAGACAAGATAGCAAATTGGTACCGGTACAATCCTAAACTCTCAAGACCTGGTCAGCACTAGAAGGAAATAAAGCGTATAAGCCGAGTTGACCAGAATCTTGACATGATATACTCAATGCAGCAAATACAACCCTCAGCAGTAACATAGCATCTTAACTACTACTCTATGGCTTAAAAGAAAATGGGAAAGGAGAAACACTTTTTCAAATCTGGAACAAAATGAACAAGGATTGATCCATAAAGGAGTCTAATCATCTTCTCATTAAAAAGCTAGGCATGCTAAAACCATGAATACAAATATTCAAAAGGCTGCTCGCAGAATAAAATATGTATTACTAAACAAAGCAAAACATTTAGAGTCCAAACTACAAAACTTAACTTTATCACGCTGTAAAGCGTGAAATTGACTTGAACAGTGGATGAAGCAACTTGGACAGTTTAAGCAGGGGTGGCAGATTGAGCAGCCAGCCTCTTCTTTGCCTCCTCGATGATGGTCAACTTAATTCCTTTACCTTTGGGGAGTGAAACCCACGGCTTAGTACCCTTACCAAGAGTGAACACATTTCCCAAACGTGTAGCAAATTCATGACCCTGTGAATCTTGAATGTGGAGGGTCTCAAAGCTACCCTTATGCTTCTCCCTGTTCTTAATAACACCAACTCGTCCCCTGTTTCTACCTCCAGTCACCATCACAACATTCCCAACGTCAAACTTGATGAAATCAACAATCTTATTGGATTCCAAGTCCAGCTTTATGGTATCGTTGGCCTTGATGAGAGGATCAGGATAGCGGATTGTTCTTCCATCGTAAGTGTTCAGGTATGGGATCCCCTTCTGACCAAACTGCACAGAGCGGACCTTGCAAAGCTTAAACTGCAAATCGGAAGAACATCATTCAAATAAGAGCAGTATACCACCAATAAACTATACAACGTCAGAAAATGACTCTAACAAAGACATTCGCCACAAACGCAAAAGTTAAAATATTAATCTACCTTGGATTCCTCGTCCCTGAGCGAGTGAAGACGGAATCGGCCCTTAGTGTCATAAAGGAGACGGAAGTTCTCATTAGTCTTCGGAATTGAAACGACATCTGTATATAGAATGTGCATTAGTCATTTTCAAGGGTGAAACAAGTAAGACAGCCGAAAGAAAGAGAATGTCATATGAAAATTTAATAAAAACTTCTATTAACAAACAGACCACCTATCCATAGTACTCCAGAAGTTCCAATTAATGTGACTCTCCCTACTTTAGAATGTTCCCGGAAACATTTAACACAATTCTCTTTCTACACAATGTTAATAAATCAAATTTCGTTAAACTGTTCAAAGAATTAAACTTTAATGTGATGTTTTATCTATCAAACTAATTTACCAACCAGTATTTCAGTATTCTTTTCAAGTATTTATTTACTTATAATAAAAGACAGATGTTTGGACTCTGTAAACATCAAATACCATTAATACAACATGAATTGACAGTGCATTAGAAAAGATACCAACAACGGAAAAGGTAGAAAAAGAGCATTTACCCATGAAACCAGCAGGATATGTCTTATCTGTCCTAACTTTCCCATCAACCATAACTTGTCGTTGCATCAGAATTGAGATCACCTCTCTGTATGTGAGAGCATACTTCAACCTGTTTCGCATGATAATGACCAATGGCAAGCACTCCCTTGACTTGTGTGGCCCAGAGGATGGCTTGGGAGCCTATAGAGCAAAAGACGGAATTTCTTTAGCTAAAGCAGCTACAAATCATCTCGAGTTACTTGGAAAATACTCAAAGATAATTCACTTACAAATGCTCCACCAAGTTTATCAAGCATCCAATGCTTTGGGGCATTGAGCCTCTTCAGATGCTTCTTCAAACCTCTAGCCTGTAAATAAATGAAAGCGCAAGTTTAAATTTTCCTTGATATATCTTCAACATGCGTTTTGTTTCCAAAAATTAAAGCAACACCAAGTATGCAATATGATGCATAACACAAAACCAATCAACCACTTTATGATCTAAAGATCAATAGACATAAGGGATGGCAAAATTGTCTTAAGAAAGAAAACACTCTTCCATAAACAAGGTTCGTACAAGTCATGACTCATACTCATCTTCCGGAAATTAAACCATCAGATCATGTAAAGGGCCAACACTCATCATAGAACTATAATTTAAGCCATATAGATCATGTAAAGGGCATAAATCAACCCCGAATAAACACTCCATCTTCCATAAATATGTCACAAAACTGAGTAACACCAAGACAACATAATCGACTGATAAAAGTAATCAAACAGAAAAAAAATTGATGACACAAAAATTAATTTACGAACATAAAAAGAAATGTATACAACCAGTACTCGATCCAAAACTACTAGTAGAAACAGTACACTTATTTGAACCGATCTGGGATCCTATTAATTTTCAGGTCGCATCTCTATTGCAAAACTACAATACATAATCTAAAGTTTCACTCGCATAATATCAAAACAAGTAAATTTTAACTTCAAAACTCCAGAATCTCTACATCAACTGATCCTTAAATCTCAAAAGACAAAAGAGAGTATAAATGACCAAAGTAAAAAAATGGAACAAACCCAATATTTCCTTCATAAAGTTGTGATTTTTCCACCGACCCAGTAATTGAAAAATGTTTCTACATATATTTTAGGTCTAGTAGAAAATTTTCCATTCAATGATATTAATCCATGAAAAAAGTTGTAGCAACAAAACTCAGCAAAGCGTAAAAGATAGATAAATAGATGCATCATAGTACATACAAACTTAATGAGTGAAGAAATGGAGGATAGAAGAACGAACCATTTTGTTGGTCTAAGAATTTCTCTGTATTTTTTGCAGCTTCGATGAAGAAGACGAGAGAAATACTAAAACCCTAGCTTTTTTGTTATAACCTTGCATGCCCTCTGGGCTCTGGATAAGTTGGGCTGGCCTTTTAGTGTGTTACTAATTTGGGCCTCCAATTACTTCTCATAAGAAAAAGTGAAGGCAAAAGGCATAAATTCACCATTCAACTTGTCCTGAAAAGTCAGTTACATATTTAAACTATCATGATGATCTATTACATATTTATTCTTGTAAAAACTGTAACTAATACCACCTCATAACTGATGTGGAAATTCAATTAAATTAAAAAATAAAATAGGCGCGTTTGAGTTGAAAATAAAGTAAAA